GAATTGTAAAAAGAAAAATCACCTTTTTCTCTTTTCAAAGTTCATCTTCAGGCCTTCCTTTTCCCTTAATTCTTTTCGTGGCGCAGTGGTTAGAGCGTCTGCTCTAGAGTCGCGGCGTAAGGACTTGATCCTTACGTCGCGGGTTCGAATCCCACTGTGGGACGTGGAGACCGGTCCTTCGGATGAGACCGTATAAACCGAGGTCCCGTGTCGCAGTAGGTGCTGGCACGAAAAAGATCCCTCACTGCTCAATGGCCGTAAGTGCCGAGTATAGGACAAAATTTGCAGCTCTCCACCGGCAAGTGGTGGCGTCTCCATATGAGTGAAATATTCTCGAGAGGGACGTTAAACAACATACAAACAAAATAATTCTTTTCTTTTCTGACGCTATATATTTCGAGCTTTTTTCTCTGTCTTCTCCAATTAATTTGAAGCATTTCAATACAAATCCGGTAAGGGCAATACTGTATACAAATTTATATAAACTACTGTGGAGTCACCACTTTTCGTTTTGATCAATGTTTATGAAAATGTAAAGTAAAAGAATAGAATCTTGTTCACGTCTTTTTTAAGACTTTCTTGAATTCTAATAAAGGAAATGCTCCTAGATTTTTTACGATACACCTCACTAGAAACATTTTATAGGCTCTCTTCTTCCAATAAACTAACGAGTTTCTCCACGACTTTTAAAACGGCCATTATCTCTTTTGAAAACGCAAAATCTACTCACGTGTTCGGTTCGATGAAAATAGGTTGACACTTGGTTGAATGATTTTCATTGGCTAACAGAGGTCAGCTAAATCTTGTATCAAGAAATAGAGCAATGCTGAAAGTCAGTGGACCTTTTCACAAAAAATCTTATGACATATTTTTATCTTAAGTGAAAACTTACGATAAAAATCGTTTTCACAAAAATTCTTAAAGTCATAAGTGCAAAATCTGTCGTAACTTTACGAGACCCCCAACTCTCTCTTATGTATTTTAAAATCGATTTTATTGTAAAAATATAACCGCAAAAAACAAAATACACGTTACATTAAACTTTTAAAGCAATTTCCAATAATATTTTAATTTTTTTTTCACAATCATTGTCGAAAAATTAAATGAAATACACTACAAAATATTTACGATGCAAGTTTCACGTAAGATTTTCGTATGACCTACTTTTACGTCAGACTTGCGATTGTGACGTCCTTGCTTCACAAACGATTGCATTCGATATTTGTAGTCAATGGGTGACTTCGATCACGAACAATAGTAACAATAGTGAAACTATGGTTAAATCGAACTACCAATAGTTCGACTAGACTGACGTCAAATTCTCACTATAGTTCTACCCACCACATTTCAATGGTTAATCCGGTTTAGAAATGGCGGCACTTGATAAGAATGCAACATTTGTGATCGTATATTTTAGTTTTATGATTTATTTTGACTTTTAAATGATTGTCCAGGTTCGGTTGATAGAATTTAAAATTGTTATTTTAGGCGGTCAGTTTTGAAGAAAAAAAAGTAGCGAAAACGCCTAAATATTAAAGGTGAGAAAAGTGTGTTTACATGAAGGATGTATGTGCATGGTGTTTTCGAGTTGTCAAGTTTTAAATGTTTTAATTTAAGTATGAATCATATATCTTATAAATTTCAAATTTGCCACCCCAACACAAGGTGTAAATTTACACCCAGATTTATTCATTAAGCAAATTTATTACGCAAATTCTGGTAAAACGTTGTGACATTGTCTCAATCCAATTGATTGAAAATCAACTTCTTGAACTTAAATCATATTCCAGCATGCCGACACTCCTCGTTAAAGGGGCAAATGGTACATCGTTTACTGTGGAATGTGACGAACATGTGCAAAAACAGTTACTGTCTCCAGATGCTGGTAAATACAGTTGTAATGAATGTTTCTCAACTAAAATAATATTCACATCATTAGTAAAAAATAAAAGTATATGTTCATGTAAAAAAAATAAAGAAGAAGTAAAAACTTATGTGATTTTACCTTAATTTGAATGCAAGGAATTTTTCAGTCTAACGTGTTATTTGAAAACATGACTTAAATGTTTATTTAGGGAGCAAAACTTAAACATAACATTAGGGGACATGTATTTTGTTTTTTACTAGGTATTGTAAATGGTTGATGGCTTGAATGAATTTGATAAAATCTCAACAAGTACTTTAATGAAAATAAATAAATTCTCGTATTTTAGATCCAGGTTTGAAAGACATGATTGTAAAAATGCTTATAGAACATCAAAAGCCTGAGCCGCAATTTGACAAACCACCACCTCCAGCTCCTCCACCCACCAGTCAGTCAGATACTTCAGAAACTACTGATTCCCCCTCCTCGTCAGAGTCAGTAGGGTTACCTGGGTATGTGTATGTGTGGAAGGATAAGGAGGAAGACATGCTAGTTCACTTAAGGCATGAGCGTCAGGATCTTTTTTTGAAAACAAGAAACCATGGCATTTTGTGGCAGGAAATATCAAGTGAGCTGTGCAAGACATTTAAAACTAAAATTTCAAGCACCCAAGCATTGAATAAGTATAATAATTTGAAAAAGAAATGGAAAGAAATAATTGATGCAGGAACAGGCACAGAACGAAAGGACTTTCGTCTGAAAGAAGAGTTCGATTTGGTTTTTGGCACTAAGCCATCTGCAAAGCCCTCGATAACACTTGACAGTACAAGCACTACGACCAGTGATGATCCAACACCTCCAGGAAGCCCTAGCAGATCACCCCGGAAAAGTCGACCAAAAGAGGCCAAAACCCTTCCAAAAAGAAAAGAAAATTTCAGACATCTAAATTATTGGAAGATTTGTCCAACAGTGAAAAGGTATTTAATTCAAAAATTGAAAAATTTCACAATGAAAAGATGGCAAGAATGGATAGATTTTTGGACCTGTTTGAGAGGAGTCTTGAGAAGAAATAGATAAGGCCAAAATAAAAAATACCTTTGTTTCCCCTAACGTGACCGATCCACTTAAATCGCACCGACTGAAAAGGTTTTTTTTTAATAAGATTATTCAAATATTTTTTTTATTGTCTATCAACTTTATAAAATACGATTTTATTAAAATCTGTTTTTATCAGAACGGCGACTTTTGTTCTACTCTGATCATGTGGTCACAAGTAAAGGGTTAGTTTGAGTTATAAAACAACGGCGTCGTATCGATCTTATTATACATATATGTATATCCTTAACTCATTAGAATCCTACACTCTTGAAACATTTCGTGAATTGAATATATCATGACTTAAGAGTGTTTCGATTGTATTTACAAATGTGTCTTCTAAAATTAACGTACATGTACGTAGTAAGCATGGCAAAGCCTGCCTCAAAAGCAGATGAGGGGCCCACCTTGTGTATACATATCAATAAACTTCACTGGATTTCATTCGTTTGGATCTAATAAACGGTTTATGTATGATCCTATTTTTACTATATGGGACCATAGCAGTTGTAAATATGTCTTTGTATAATTATTTCATCTTGATAAATATAATTCAGACGTCGTTTCTTCATTCCTTTTATTTATGGGTTAAACTTCACGACTCTTATCATTAGATATATAGCATTTTAATCATATTTAGATATGGTTTGGTTGAATTAAATATTGTTAATACATGTACACTCTTTCCAAATAGTGTAGAAATCTTTAAAATTGGCTTTTTGTACAGCCTCCTGAGAGGTCCAACGACTTTTTTTTAGTTAGGTCCTTGAAAATAGGTTGTTTCTTTGCTTTAAAATCCCTTTAAAATTGTTTGTCCGACAACATTTGAATATCTACCTGGTGGAGGGCTCCAAATTTAGCCTTTTATTCGGCACCTATGGCCACTGATCATTAAGCATCAGTAAGGGATTTTTAATTTTTGATGCCAACATCTATACTGCGACACTGGACGTTTTTAAGGTCTCATTCGACTGACCAGTCTCCACATCCCACATCGGGACCTGTGACTTAGAATAAGCTCCTAAATGACGTCCTGACTCTAAAACGAAACACTCTATTATCACTGCGCCACGCAAAACCCTTGACATTTTGCCTGTGTAAGCACTTGAAGATGATAGTAGGTTTGAAGAATATACTCGGATGTCCGATGGTTGAGAATTTGCGAATCTTGTCCTTTTGTAAATATTCGATTTCAATAAATTTACACTGGCCTGAGATATTTCACAAGTTCAAATGAATAATATTTGTGAATTAATTTACCATACTTGTTGCTTTTGAATTTCATTTGTATGATATTCAGTTTAAAAATCGGTTTCTTTTGTTTTTTCTTATTTATAAAGATATTATTCAATTTTTCAGAATGCATTTTCATAACTGTTGTCAGAAAAAAAATAATTTAACTACCTACCTACCCAACTTCAGATTTTAGGGTCGGGTTAGGGGAAACAAAGATATTTTTAATGATGGCCTAATTTGGATATTTTGCAACAGTTACTGAGTATTTGAAATTATTTCATGGAAAATCTTGAGCTAAAAGAAATGTGTTCAGCTGAATCAGTTGTTTATATACTCTTTATTAAAAGGGACAATAATGATAAAGTTCCTGTTTACATATTTATTTTTTGTTTGTTTGCTTCACACCTAGAAGGTTCATGCAATGTACCTAAACTTCTTAAAATTTTTGTCATAATTTTTTTATTACCGAAGTAGGTTTGTGCAATATAATTTGTTGTTTATTTTTTGTTGTACAAATTTAATTCAAGTGTTGTTGAATGTTGATTAAATTTGCAAAATCTTTTTTAAGTTTTCTCATTATTCAATATACCTCTCATCTGTATACATGAAATATTTGTTCTTTTCTTATTTTGGTCTCAAATCTAAAGAAATAAGCCATTTTATTTCTCACAAAATTAGGCAAATACATAATGTTTATGTATATACTTTTACGGTCATGAAGCGAGCAAACATTTCAATGTGTACAGCTTAATTGAAGGAATAAAGGGCCATTGACACAAAGGCAATAGGAATAAAAAACTTTTTTAAAAATCTTTGAACATTCTAATGCAGTTTTGAAATGCTACAGTGTAAATATATAGACTAGTGGATAACAAGAGAATTAAGGAATGTTAACCAACTGCAGTCACCGTACAATTCCTGCATGACCATTTTGGTAAATGTTTTGAAATTGATTTGGATGAACATCATTTAGTTGTTCGATGTAACCATCTACATCATCATTATATTGTACACACAAATTATGTAAAATGCAAGCTGCATAAATCATTGTACATATGTCTTTGTGGTCATGGAGGGGAACATCCCTCAACCTTCGAAATCTCCCTTTTAAGTGTCCAAAGGCTCTCTCTACATTTTGACGGATACTTGAGAGTCTTTTGTTGAACTTAAGTTGCTGCCTAGTGAGATTGCCCAAGTTTTAAATGGCGTTATCAACCAATTTCTAAGAGGGTAAGCATTATCACCAAGTATTAAATGGTTCTGTATAAACATTTCTCCATTCTCAGCTTTCTGGTATAATCCGGAATTACGAAGTGCGTCGTGAACGCATCCGGGCCAACCAGTGTAACAATTGATAATCTTCAGTGTTTGATCCACTACAATCTGTAATTGTATAGAAGGGAATCCCTTTTTATTGTAGTAGTCCTTTTCCCCATCCAAAGCTGATGATAGTTGAATGTGGGATCCATCAATGAATCCTATAACTCCTGGGAGTCTGCAATTTCCCTGAATTTCCTCTGCTGTCTGCCGTTGCTGTTCTGGGTTTGGCCGTCTTATTACCTGCAATATTTAAAAAAAAATGATATATGACTGTATGTGCCTAATCCCAAATCATTAAAACAACATGTTACTTGTCCCATATAGGATGAAACACAATAGCTTTGTTTTCCTTTCTTAGGGAGATTAACTGATTTTTTTTTAAGTGTTTATTTTTTTCTATAAAAGAACATAAAATTAATACTGCAACAAACGGTTTTGGGTGCAAAATATCTTACCTTTTGCTTAGTTGACCAATAGCTTTAAAAACGTCCTTTATTATCCCATGGACCGTTGAAATTGATAATCCAAAATGATGCGCAACCTCTCTCATAGAAGTTGTATTTGCTAGGTACCAAAGCGCTACAAGCAGCTGTTTGTCTGGGGGGACAGTGGCTTGAGGTCCGTGGCCATTTCTTTGCAGGACAACAAATACTTCATTCAGAATGACAGTGTAAAATTCTCTACTGAGTCTAAAATGTACTTTAAAATCATCAATATGTGTAGGATCAGACATCAACTGTACTACGTTAAGAACGTACCCCTCTACTTTAGGTACTCTGTCTCTCTTTGACTGGATCAGATGCAGTGTTTTCCCTGCATTATTAAGGAATCTACTCTCTGATTCTGTGTCATCTTGTAAAACTTCAAGAAACAAATAAAAAAAAGTCCTCGATATCAGCCATGTTGGGAAACTGTAGTTCAACCAGAGAAAATTCGGTCAACAAAGAAATGACGCATGCGCATTGAGCTTACGATAGTATTACCCTAGTTTGTGTTCGAAGTCACTCAATAATGTTTGTTATGCTGACAAATGTTGAAAATCAAGTTTTAGTTTTATTTTCACCCACTTATTTAAGGATTATAAAGCATATTGAAGTCGTTGCTAGGGATGAAGTCTGTCGTACGTAAAATCTTAAGTTTAATCTGCTACGAATGCGTTCGTGAAAAGCATTTATGATTGTTGTAAGAGATTCTTAAAATAAAATCTTAAGCAAAAACTTAAGATTTTTTGTGAAAAGGGCTACTGACTTGTAAGGCTGAGAAAACGTAATTAAGGGTGTACACACGGTAAGGCTAGAACTTACATTTCAAGACTTATAAGACAAGCCCTCCCGTGTATATCGGCTCTTGAGGAATAACTAACTGATGATGAGGCAAGCGAGAGAAAAAAGAAACATCCAGAAACAGGATATTTTGTAGTTTCAATTTTAAAGGAAAACAATTATGGTTGTTTTTTTTTATATATTGTCTGATATATGTACTTTGTGTTTAGAATGTCTTCATGAACCATGTAACATAATCTGTCCTCATGTATATTCTGCTGGAGGTGAGTTTGGTCGATATTTCTTAACGGATATGCAATGTCATTTAACTTGTCAATCAGTCTGTGTAGCTCTGTTTAGCCTTCCACTCCTTCAGTTGATTTTTTAGGTTCTGAAACCTGTAATTTGCATGTGTCATGCATAAATTCTATTTTTGTCGATTTTCGCGTTTTTCCGTCAGGGTGTCACTTTAAATATACCATAAATCGTTTAAGCATACGAAGACCTAAGATAAATATTTCTGGTCAAAGCAATATTCTTGTTCTCCCTCGCGCAGTTGTCCATTTGAAGGTAGAGGACTTCAGGAAGGAATCAAGGAAAAGACACTGAGTAAGATAGATAATGTTAGATTGGTTGAGTGGCTGTATTCGAATTAATTGAAAAAGCCAAAAACCCCATCCCAAGTACTCTACCCCTACAAGGTGCACACACAACCTCCACATGCCGGAGGTTATGCGGGGGTCAATTTAATGGCATGCACAAAGTATGGCATCTGAGTCTTTTTCTGGTCCATTCCGTCTATTATGAAGGACGGGTATCTGTTGGGATGGAATTTTGCCTTTTCCTGGTGTGTAATATTTTTGACGCTCGAGACTTAAAAAAATGATAACATTAATTACACAAGTAAAATTGATGCAAAGAAAATTTTGACAAAAAAACCTTCTCAGAAAATGTTTTAAACATGTACATTTCAACATGACAATTACCTGGTCCTAGAACAACCCACTCAAACTCGAGGAAACCTTACTCTAGCTTCTCAGGGTGTGCTTCCTGGTGATGTTCACAGGATTCCTCTTTTGAACTGTAACACTCTTTTAAACCTGTGCAGTATTGGCATCGGTAAATGTTGTTTATGACCTGCAAATGGCAACCCATCATATACCACAAACAACCATCCCTTATCTCCCCATTTAGAGTATTGCTCGACTTCTTCCTGAACACCTATCTATTTACAGATGGACCTTGCAGAGTTGTAGGAGTTAGGGTTTAGAAAACAAGAATCACTAAGGGTCAGCAGTGGTGATGTGACCGGCTGTTTGCTATAGGACAGGCTGTGGCGATCTGAAGTAGCAGCTTGCAGATTTATTTGAAAGTGATCCTGGCTACAGTTAAATTAACACTGCAAGATCTGCATTATCATCATATGCGATTCAACATTTTGAGTGCCTATTGGATTCGATTTTTAAAAGGTGTACTTGAGAACAGGAAAACCAAGATACTGTGAAACTTGGGTTGTGTCTAAGGTGCTTACGTTTTGCAAAAATTGTCTCCTGTGAAATTTATTTCACTTAAAGATCTAACTTTGAAATTAGTTATGCTAATTGGTTAATCAAATGCCACTAGATCGCAGTCTTTGGATCTGTAAACTGTAAATGATGTATGCAAAAGCAATAAATCATATTTTTAAAAATCTTTTTTAAAACAAAAAAGACCATTCTATTTGTGTGAACAATTAGAACTTTTTGCATATCCACCTGATAGAAGGTTACGTGTTACTTTGGTGTTGAATAAAATATGAAGAACGCACCAAAAGTTTAAGAGGCTTGTGTACAGATTTATTTATAGGCTATGTAAAACCAACAGTAGGATTAAGATAGTGATATTAAAATCAGGAATTGATATTGCTAAATTTGCACCACACAGTGTAAGATCAGCCTCAGTTTCGAGAGCATCTGAAAGTTGTATACCAATTGATAATATTTTAAAAGTTTTACATCCTATTAAGAAAGATGCATAATTATATCAAGAAGCTGTATTCAATAATTGATGCTATTTATATGTTTTGACATAAGTGATGTTCAGTATCAGATACAGAGTTGTACATTTACATATGAATCAATCACGAAAGAAAGTAAATTTGGTGTATACCTAGTGATAACGTCTTGAGGTTTTTTGCATAATAAATTGTGGATGTTTCGGTATACTTGTTTTTCTTTGTAGTGAATATTTCGAATTCACCATAGTCAGTGTTCAAGATCTCTTTAAAGTCTCGTATGATGCAAGAAGTGGTATAACCTAACAATAACCAATCTGAACGAGTCTTACATTGGTAAAAGGCGAATTTTGGTAGGGATTCTGTGAGTCATATAATCACTTAATACTAAAGAAAAGTTAAAAATTTGTTGTGTATTTATGAAAAATATGAAAACTATCATCCAGAAATTCAGAGTAGAAATGTGAGGAAGCAAAACCAACTCGCTAGCATTGTCAGTATATAATACACATTTATTGACTGGGTTCGAGGGCAACGGCCTTAGGCAAACAGTTTAGTTCCTGGGTCCGACAAAACACAGTCAATAAATGTTTTGTTATACTTTTTATTTTATTTTTTATTTTTTGACATCCATGTGTCTTTCACTGTCTTCCGTGATGAGATTAAACTCGGTCAATTCCGTCACAGTCGAACACCAACGAATGCAAATGAGATTTAGCTCCGCCCATTGTGTGACGTAAGCGGTCCAACATCTCATCGACAAGTCCAACATCTCACTCAGCGGTCAAACATCGATTTTTTTTTTTACCCGAAACTGATTTTTACAGTAAAATTTCGAAGTGAATAATTTTATCAATTTTTATGAGAAATACATAGAGCAATTTATTTTTTAACAGTTTACATATTTTTAAATGTTAAGTCTGTCGGATGGGACGTTAAATGGTGCCTCTTGTCAAGGATAACAACCCCCTTGGCACGTAAAAGATCGTTTCTCTGGATTTCGAAAAAGAGTAGGCTCATTGGGGGCCGCCAGAGAAACCGAAAGCCTTTCAAATACCGGTCAAATAAACTTCATTTTTTCGCCGAAATAGGGCTGAAATATTGCCGACTCGGCATTAAACAATAATCAATCAATCAAATGATGCTGCTACTATTTCTCCTTCTATAGCTTCATCATTTTGTAGCACCTGTAAAAAACGAGTTATTTAGAGTTCATATTTTTGAATACAGTAAAGCTGCAGGGAAACATCTCATTTTGATACCAGAAAACTAGATATCATTAAGATACTGTACATTTACTTAAAAAAGCGGGCTTCATAATTTACCAGCTTTGGTGCACACAGCAATGCACTAATTGATGACAACTGTTAGTAAATGAATACGATATGTTTTTCATTTTTCATCCAAACAAACAATAATTTTATTTTTGCCTTATGACTAGGAAAAAAAAATTAAATTGTTTGAAAGAAGATGAATTAAACTTTCTATATATATGGATTTTTTTTTATGTATTTATTGATAAAAATTTGTTTTGAAGCAGTCAAGTCAATACACACCGGTAGATATGGGATCATGTTACATGGGACTCCCATTCATGATAGCATATTAACACCTAGTGCTGATGTCGAGGAATCATTCTCATTTTTCCCCTTTACATGAAAGGAGCAGTCAAATAAAACACAGAGATAAATCCATACAAGGGTTATTAAGCTCTGATTGAATTCAATATTATTTTTTTTACCTTGATAATGGTTCCTTTTACAGAAACTCGATCTCCTTTCTTCTTGGTAGCAACTTCTGACACTCTAATTGGTAGAGGATCCCTCCACTTGTTGACGACTTCTTGGTGTACACTAGGTCTCCCCGTTTCCAAGAGCTATGTATATAATAAATACAATGAAAATGTTTAGAACGCAGTGTTTAATTCGAGTTTTTGATGATCCTAATCTACAGAACCAACCTTATTTCCTCCTTATAATTAATGGGTTTTTTTCAAGGAATGTTTTTTGATTATTTCTTGCATCAAAATAGATACTGTTATCATTTTACTAAGAGCGTGACAGTTTGCTTGATGAGTCGTGCTAAAATTTGTATGCTGATGATCATATTAGTCATCGATTGGAAATTTGATTTCACTGAAGTCAATACTAATGTGCAATTATGAAACTTAGAATACACCACTTGTCCATCTCGTTGAACGACTGTTTACCAGTGTGGCATTTGTAGTGAGCAGCAACATGTAGTCAGTCAAAGTCTGTTTTCTGTCCTTAAAAAAGCATATTATTTTAGTGGATGGTTTCAAATACACATAAGAAAATTTAAAGAATGGAAGTAATAAGGCTAGTACTCTGCAAATGTTGTACTACATAACATTATGGGGAGTAAATCTTGCTTTGAGAGTGTGATTTTTTTAAGAGAGTTAAACACCATCAATGACAGATATGTGGTAATGTTCCCTAAAAATTTAAAAATAAAATGGAATGAATACACCAATATATTGCCACACCTTTTCTAAAACGCACTGGAAAATGTAAATATTTGTTAAGTGATCACATTGTTTTAATATTAAATATAAAAAAACATTGATAAATTGGCATACAATCTGCTGAACACAATGAATACAGTCTACAAGTTTGAATTAAAAAATTCCTTTTCATACTCCTCAAAACAAATGAGATCATAGGTTGTGACTGTGAGGTAGAACACTTGGTTAGACGGTTGAACTGAAAATTCATATGGCATTAACTCGTCTGGTTCTCAGTCTTTCTGACCGTCTCCTGGAAGGAATTTTGGAAGGAGAGGAAGGTGAAATATTCTTCAGGTTTAAATGTCGAACCTGAGTTGAAGTTGTTGGGATAAGAGTGGAAGGTTGAGCAGGATGTGGCACATAAGTTGAAGTTGTTGGAATAGGGAAGAAAGGTTGGACAGGTCGAGGTTTAGAATGTGGAAACTTAGATGAAGCTGTGTTTGGACAAAGAATTGAAACTGTAATACATGTATGTGTTTGTGAAGCTCAGTTTGGCTAGGTGGTGGTTGGAATTGGTGAAATGCACAAAAAGCGATTAACAGAACTTGAAAGAAGAATTTTTAATGACATCTTTTGTTTAATTTCCATATTACCCCCCCCCCCCTCCAAAAAAAAAACCCAAAAAAGCACAAATAAAACTGAAAAATAAAGATAAATGGACATCAGATATCTTACAGTAATATTGTAAATAAATTTTCATGTGATTTGTAAGAGACCCCATTTACATCTGTCGTTCGGTGTATGTTGTTTCTTTCCTGCTTATACATTTTCTTATGTAATTTACACAAAGAAATAAGGAAGGGAGTGAACATTTTAACGCAAAAGAAATAAAGTGAACATTAATGAAAATAAATAGACTGTACTGAAATGGTTTGGGAGGGAAATTGAAATTTTACTCTTCATAATAAATTATACCCGATAGACAATTTGCAAGGTACTGATCCTTTCCCAGAATATCGTATATGGGGAAATGCCTGATCCGTTGTTGTTGAAAACTCAAAAGTCATAGTCGTTCTCTGAAATCAAGATTACACAAGATGAAATTAAAATTTGACAAAATTGAAAAAAACAAAACATTTATATGTACATTCATGTTACTGTAAACCAACTTTTATTCGCGACGACTTTATTTCGCGATTTACCGGGGGTAAACTAGTTCGCGACGATTAATTTTCGCGATCAAGCCTTTTTTTTAATCTGTTGTTTATAGAAGGAGAGACTTTAAAGATTGTTCGCGGCGAGAAATATTCGCGATGACAAGGCTCTCGCGAACCTCGCAAAAATTTCTCGCACGCGAATAAAAGTTGGTTTACAGTATCATGCAGAAATTGACATTAAGAAAAAGTGTACCATTTCAGATGGTGATGAGACAGCCGACAGTGAAGAGGGTGCTTCTGATGTCAATGTTAAAGAGGTCTTGGCAGAACCAATTGCTGATGAGGAGGAACGCGGCTATGTTCAGGCTGTCCGAAGGCTTAATATGAATTAGATATATACTATTTTATTTTGAGCAATGTTTTGATTTCAATTTGTTATCTATGTATACATAAACAGTTAGGTCGTAAAGAGAGTTGAATAAGGTATTATAAAAAACATTTTTGTGATGTCACATGACAGTGTTGATCACGTGACGGACACATAAATTTTCTTAAATGTTGCACATAAATCGCATCGGCACAAGTGAAAAACGAAATTATTGTGAACGGCTTGTTATATAGATCAATTAAACGGATTCCTGGGTATACATAAAGTGCTGGGGGCACGTCTGAATTTTATTTCTTAAGAAAATATTTTACGAGAAATTCAACTTACCCACATACAAGGGGTCATTTTCCACTCTTCATCGCAATTTATACAAAATGGGATAAAATACATACAATCCCCCAGCAAAATTCAGTCAGAGGAAATATTTCTCTAACAGATTCACACAGAATATCTTCAATTAATCCTTATTATTCACTTGTGCCAGTCTAATATATATAAGATTTATATATGTGTAAGGGGGAGCATTTCACAATCTTTTTTGTAATTGTTTGAATACGTACATGTTATGCAAGAAAAAGGAATAACGATATTATACTGCAAATATTCACCATCATAACAGCCTTAAAACAACAATCAAAACACATGAATTAAACATCAACGTAAAAAAAACTACATGTGATGTGAAAGGAATGTAAAAGTTATGACACTTTCCCCGTCATGTCTGCTCAAATTTCCAATGACTTGACGTCATATGCCATTATGACGTCATATCTAGGTAGCTCAGAGAAGTGACTACGGCTTGTACACTGTGACATTCTTCGGACAGCCTTATCCTAGCTGCGAAGAGAAAAATAAGATGAAAAACATAATGAAGGAAGTTCTGACACAGGCCTTCCATCAATCACTGAGACTGGTGTGGCGACTGAAAGAAACACTTAGTGTAACTGCTAATAAGGAGACGTCTCCCCAAGTGAGCCAGTCTAATACGGGCAATAATATGGAGGGAAATTCCATGTTTGCAACATCATCTGCAACATTGTCTGCAGCATCACAAGAAACACTTCAACCACAGACTACGTAAGTGCAGTCATCTAAGAAAGGTATTAACAATGACATGTATAACGTTTCGGAACGATAACCGCGTAACACAAACAACCCAACAGGCGGTAAAACATTCACAAAATACCTTAAATAATTATTAGAAGACTAAAAAGATTGAATTTCAAATTCTTAACTTATCTTTATAATCTTATAACTAATTTAATAATAAAAAACGAAGTTATTGACCTGTATTACTGTATTTATCCATTTCCCAGTATACCGTATTCCACGCCTGCTCCTTACTCGATCGTAGAGCAGAGTTATGGTTATAGTTTCGATGCAATCACTTAAACAGCGTTTAGACATTGGCAATTAGGAAATATAGACATTTTATAAAATAATGCATAAATTCTTCATAGTTCTTCAACTGACTCGAAAGAGATGAGTTTGACATGTCCAACGGTGTCTGGTCAATTCGAACCCTGCTCTATTAGGATCATAATAAAGGCCCCCAGGCTATTATTGTTCACATTTTGTTTAATATGAAAAAAAAATTATTAGGTTACCTGAATCACACAGTTGACCTTTTGCTATCTTCAAATTAAAAAAAAAGGTCTGATGAAATTGTTTTTCATGTTCGACGCAATTGAATTCAGCCTTTCAGGCTTTTGATTTTACTTACCTAAACATTGCTCAAGTTGTTATGCTAGTGATGCACGAGATCCATGTGCTGAACCTCTGTCGAACATTCTCTGAGAAAGATGTTCGGCCGTATCCACTTTCAATACTTTTAATTGTTTTAATAGAGAGTCCATTACAGCTTTCTTTCTTTCCAATCCCTCTGTACTCTTTTCTAATCTTTCAAGATCTGAGTGTCTTCTCATAAATGACAAACAGTCTTGACTCATCGTTGAATATTTTGTGTGAAGTTCATCCTCAGTTTTGACTGATCAATAATTTTCAGAAAATCTTTTCTTTTTCTCCATATTTTTTTTTTTAATTTCTTTTGATAGCCATCAATTTTTAAAGTTCTTCACCTGAAACTGTGTTTGCCTTTGTATGTAAACATGCTGTCCTAGTTCTTTTTCCTGTAGTATAATGTTGTGTTGTTCAAATCATCACACTAACACGTGGGTCAGCCATAACGGAACTAACTTTTATTAAATGCGCAAGTGCAGAACATTCTACTATACAAACCAAAGATACAATAGATCCGGAATACATCACATTCCTCCCCTTCATTTAAGATGTACAATTTTTCAGATTTTACAGTTATTAATTGGCAATAGAATTTTTTTGAAAGTCACTAAAAATGTTACTGGCTTTTAATTTTATGAAAAGCTACTTAGCTACGAAAACAATATCATATAAAGTGATTAGAATGACTAGATGACAAAAATGACTAGAACTAATGAATACATTTGCACTTTTACAACAATACTGATAAACGGAAAAGAACCTCTGGTTCTTACTGATTACATGGAGACTATTATGCTCCCAACACTGTGTAATCAGTATAATATTCACAAATTCAGTTTCTTCGGGGCCCGTCTCTCTCTTTGCGGATAGCGTCGAACGTTTGGAGTTGGCACAGACACGGAGGCTGAAGGTTCTTTTGACACCACAGGAGTTTTCGAGACATTTGGTGAAATTGCATATTTTCCTTTAGGAGTACGAATTGTTGTTGGAACAATCGGCCTGAGATGAGGAATTTCAATATTTGGTTCAGAATTGATGTCGCTAGTTCCACAACGAAGCTGATCAGCATGACGTCGCCATAGAGTGCCAAGTCCTGTGTCAACTGTGTAAGACAGCGGTCCAGTACGAGAATGTATCTCAGCAGGAATCCTACTGCGTTCCTGTAATCTCTGGCCATAACCTTTTGTCCTTCTTTGAATTCTCTAACATTAGAGTGTATAGAAAGCTTCATCTGGTCCTGTCCTGACAATACCGTATCGTTCAGGTTTGGTTTAATCATGTCTAGCCTAGTTCGCAAATTTCGTCCCATTAGTAATTTACCTGGCGTTTCAGAGTGTGGTGTAGTACGGTATTTGAATAAAAATGTGCTCAGCTTTTGCTGCATGGATGCATTTTCTCCCTATGTACTCTTCATTGAGTGTTTGAATACTTGAACAAGTCGCTCTGCTTGCCCATTTGTTCGTGGATGATATGGGGCAGAGGTGATGTGTTTAATGCCATTTTGTGCAAGGAATAACTGGAATTCTTCGGAAATAAACTGGGGTCCGTTATCCGACACTATAACTTTAGGAAATCCCAGTTGCGAAAATAATATTCTTAACTTCTCAATAGTATTCGTTGCTGTTGTAGTCTTCATAGGGAAGATTTCCAACCACTTGGAATGCGCATCCACAATGAGTAGGAACATAGAGTTCATGAAAGGCCCGGCAAAGTCTATATGTAGACGGTCCCAGGGTTCCTTAGGCCAGTCCCAGGGATGTACCGGAGCAGCCTTTGGCATGTTGCTATGTTGCTGGCAACCACTGCAAGTGGAACATAAGTTTTCGATATCTTGATCAATTTTAGGCCACCATACAAACGATCTTGCGATAGACTTCATTTTGACGATTCCAATGTGACCTTCATGCAAATCCTGTAAAACTCTGTCTCTAAGTTTCTCTGGCACAACAACACGATTTCCCCACATCAAGCAATTCTGGTGACAGGTAAGCTCCTTAAATCTGTTACTGTATAAACGAAATCTCTCGTCATCTGCAGGTAAGTCATTGTGTCCCTTGGAAACACAGTCCAATACGTGTGATAAGATATTATCTCGTTGAGTTCCAAGTTTGACTTGTGCACTAGTAACTGGTAGTTGATCTATTTGAGTATTGTAAAATACTGTTGCCGTGTCCTCATAATCTGATGTTGTCACTGAAAGCGGTAGTCTACTAAGACCATCAGCATTACAATGAGATTTGGTGTTTCTGTATTTTATGTCGTAAGTATGCCCAGCCAGATACAGTGCATACCTCTGCAGTCGTGCAGCTGTCATGGCAGGTATTCCAGCACTGGGGTTCAGGATGCTAACCAATGGCTTGTGGTCTGTGACTAATGTGAAATGACGTCCATAAAGGTAAGTATGAAATTTAACAACTCCCCAATACAAAGCTAAGGCTTCCTTGTCAATTTGAGAGTATGCTTTTTCAGCCTTGGTAAGTGATCTGGAAGCAAACGCTATTGGTCGTTCGGTACCATCGTCCATTACATGAGAAAGTACACTACCAAGTCCATATGGAGAAGCATCGCAAGCTAGCTTGACCGGTTGGTTTGGGTCATAGTGACAAAGAACTTGCTCTGACGTCATTATTTCCTTAACTTCTGTGAAGGCTTGTTCACACTGTTTTGTCCATTTCCATGTTTTATCTCCCTGCAGAAGCTCATTCAGTGGACCCAGGACTGTTGACAGGTTTGGTAAGAAGGAACGATAGTTATTAACTAAGCCCAGGAATGATCGGAGTTGCTGTAAGTTCTCTGGTCTAGGTGCATTAAGTACAGCATTGACCTTGTCTGGTGACTTCTTCAGTCCCTCCTCTGATATCATATGACCACAGTATGACACTTGTTCTTTAAAGAAGTAGCACTTTTCTAGGTTAGCTCGTAGACCAAACTTTTCTAATTGTTCTAAAACTGCATCAAGATTTGCAAGGTGTTCTTCATCTGTTTTTCCGCTTATGATCATGTCATCTAAGACGCATGATGTGAATGGTATCCCCTGTAACACTTGGTCCATTGCACGTTGCCAGGTAGCTGGGGCAGCAGCTACACCAAACTGTAGGCGTGTGTACTGGTATAAGCCCTTGTGTGTATTAATTGTCATTAGCTCTCTGGAAGACTCATCCACTTCCATCTGGTTGTAGGCTTGTGTCAAGTCTATCTTAGAAAACTTCCTTCCTCCTGCTAGTGAAGCAAATATATCCTGAATTCGAGGTAAAGGATACTGGTCCACCTTCATTACTGGATTTATGGTTACCTTGTAGTCTCCACATAGACGTACTTGACCATTTTTCTTCACTACAGGGACAACAGGTGAGGCCCATTTACTGTGGGTAACTGACTTGATGATGCCCTCCTTCTCCAGGCGCTCGAGTTCTTCCTCGACTTTTGGCTTCAGGGAATAAGGCACGGGTCTAGCCTTACAGAATTTTGGTTGAGCATTATCTTCCAGGTACAGTGTACCTCTAATTCCTTCCAGTCTTCCGATTTCTGACCCAAAAACAGCTTGATGTCTGTCGAGAATTTTCTTTAACATTGTGTCAGTTTTCTATGTGGTCTGTTGTAGCTTCAACACTTTCACTTCATGCCAGTTCACTTTAAACTGTGATAGTCCATCACGACCAAAAATTGCTGGTCCATTCTGTCCGACTACTATTAAGTCCATGTTTCCCTGTTGCTGATTCAATGTCACCGGTACATGCACTGTGCCTAGAGGACTAATATTCTCACCAGTAAAAGTTCTGAGTTTTATTCTGGTCTTCTAAAGTGGTACATCACTGAGATTTTGTTTATAAAAGGCCTCAGGTATGATAGATACAGATGATCCAGTTTCTAGCTCATGTTAATTTGTTGTCCTTTGATCATCAGCTGGAGGATAATTGGGTCAACTATGTTCATGTTATTAACAGTATGCACATGTAACATAGGTTCAAACTGATGTTCATCATTGTCATATAAGAAGTTCACTTTTTTTCAGTCCTCTCTGTGTCCTTCTTTTTCTTTAAACATGCCCTCTCAATGTGGCCTTTCTTTGAACAGTAACGACAAGTACTGTTTACATGTTTAGCTTGTTACACTGTGCTCACCTCCACATCTCCAACACGGTTTGTGTGAACGTTGTTGTGGTGCTGGCATATGCTTTTGTGTCTGAGGTTTCATAGAAAAACGAGGTTTTGATTTCTGACTACCATTTACCTTGTGAACTGTAGCACTGATGTTTCTCTGCTCACGAAGCTCTGTTGCATCACGTCCTGCTGTCTTCATTGCATGTGCAATTTTTACTGCAGTATCCAGGGTTAGTGCTGGTTCAGCAAGTAGTTTCTTCTGGACAGATTCACTGTTAATACCACACACGAATCGGTCTCTTATAGTGTCATTGAGAGTCTCTCCAAAGTTACAATGAATTGATAATTTTCCGAGTATGAAAGCACAGTTTCACTTGACCGTTGTTCACGTTTGTGAAATCTGAAGCGCTCTGCAATAACAGAAGGCTTGGGGCAAAGATGTCTATTCAAATGTCCAAGAATTTGTTGGTACGTGAGATCTGCAGGTTTAGTAGGTGCAACAATGTTCTTTAGTAGCCCGTACGTTTTAGGTCCTATTACTGCTAAGAATGACGGCACTAATAAGTCTTCAGACACCCCGTTAGCTTTAAAGTAAAAATCAACACGATCTGTGTAGACATCCCATGTCTCGATTGATTCGTCGTATGATCCAATCTTACCGATTGATCTAACCTGTAAGCCTATCAGTTGTTGAGCGTTTCCTTCTTCACCCATTTTGTATCAATCTGTATGTTTGCCAACTCTAAACCAGCATCCTCGTCGCCAAAATGTTGTGTTGTTCAAATCATCACACTAACACGTGGGTCAGCCATAACGGAACTAACTTTTATTAAATGCGCAAGTGCAGTACATTCTAATATACAAACCAAAGATACAATAGATCCAGAATACATCACATATAAGATCATGTTTCTTTGGATCAGTTTCTCCTGGAGCAGGTTAATGCTATCCCTGCTCTATTTTCTTCTGGAAAGGGTTGTAGACTCGTCCGAGTAAATCTTCTTACTATTCTGCCCTATGTTAATTAACCATCAATACACCATGCAAAGCACTGTTGATACCTTTTATTTACATCTCAGAATCACGTGTGTATGAAGTCGCCCGCGAGGCGCAGTGGTAAGAGAGTTCGCGCTATATTCTCGGAGTAAGGAGTTGATCCTTACGTCGCGGGTTCGAATCCCACTGTGGGACGTGGAGACCGGTCCTTCGGATGAGACCGTATAAACAGAGGTCCCGTGTCCCAGTAGGTGATGACACGAAAAAGATCCCTCACTGCTCAATGGCCGTAAGTGCAGAGTATAGGTCAAAATTTGTAGCTCTCCACCGGCAATTGGTGGCGTCTCCATATGGGTAAAAAATTCTCGAGGGACGTTAAACAACAAACAAACAAATATGTGTATGAATATGGTAAGAAGGTATAAAATAACAGCAAGTTACATATGTTACAATACAAAATATAAGAAGTTCATTTAAACACTAGTAAAAAGTTAATTACCTTCAAAAATAATAATAATAGAATTCCTTAGCCAAGCAGAATAAATTCACAAACTAACAAAATGAATTACAATGCTTACACTCGCAAATAATTAATAAATTTCCAAAAGCAAATATGTTCAGCATTTTGTTTATCTACGACATTAGGAAAAACGATTGAAAAAAAACAACACTGTTAAGCATTTGTTGCATGGTAACAGGGGAAGAAAACCCCAACACGCTTTGAACTGTTACAATATTAGGAGAGCAGTTAAATTTAATATGAGATATGGTGAGGAAAATGACCTCCTACTGCCTGCTTATCTCACCTTGAGAATAAACCACAATCCACTGAACTGGTAAAATTGAAATAAATCAGAAAATTGTTTTCAAAATGCACTGACTACTTGTTCACCTCCTATAATTTAGGAAAATTTAAGAAGAAAAAAATGTGAACAATTCAAGGTGTTGTTGTATAAGATTAAGAGGCGATTTTTTTATTTATTGTAGAATAATTTCTGATGTAAAGGTGGCATCTGTTTGAGAGACAGAAAAAAAGTCGTCGGAGACTTATTGAACTCGAGGATAACACTTTGAGGGTGGACAATTTTTCTCAACCCTTAACAAGGGAGACAGTTTTGTTCCAATGTCTTGTAGTTGTCATTTTAGTGAACCATTTCAAAAAGATGCATGCTATTGACAAACAAGTTAACCGAAATGAAGCTCACTTTTTAAGCATTTGAAATTATTTTAAACATTTCAAATAATCCTGCATATAATTAACAATTATTGAGGTTTGTAACAAGTCCACTCTAATCGAATCAACGAGTTCAGAGTGTGCGCTCAGCTCCTACATAAGAGGATATAGACCCATGTTTTCGTGGAAGTTGCGGGGGTCCCTGATAGGACTGCTGGTAGCACTGGTGTATTTCTAGGGGCCGGTGTTAAGGTATGGTCAGGTTTCGGAAGGCTGAGTACCGAGTTAAATTCTGGTGGTGTAGGAGGAAATGGAACAGCACACGATGATGCGTTGATGGGCAATTCGGGGCTTGATGGAACACAAATCGGCGATAACGGGCTATATTCTAACGCAAACTCGGGTGTCGGAGGGTTGAGGTCAGATTTGATGGGTGGTGTAGGACACGATGGGCTATATATCCTAACGCAAACTCGGGTGTCGGAAGGTTGAGCTCAGATTTGATGGGTTGTGTAGGACACGATGGGTTATATCCTAACGCAAACATTCATTATGAACACAAAGAATAAATATAAAACGAAAATATGTTGAAAAATCTTTCTATATGATCTGCAATAATCTAAAATGATCTGCAATGTGTACAGCAGCAAATATGCAGGAGTGTCCTGAAGAAAAACCATTATATCAATAAATGCATATAGATTGTACAATTTTGTCATATAATTATACATGTATTTTTTAGCAACAGAAAAAAAGCAGATCCACCCCCACCGAACAAGAAAACAAAGAAAGAATAAAGACAAGATTGTCATTATCTCCAGTGGGACTGTCATTAACTCCAGTGGGACTAATAAAAAAAAAAAGGCTTAAAAGTTGAGCTCAAGTAAGTTATTATGATCCTCTGTTCTCCAATGTCCGTCTTTTAATCCATCTGTAAACGTTTACACATTTTTCACTTCCTCTCTTGAACCACTTCCTGGGCCGAAATACTTAGGCCAACAAAATTATGATTGTGCAGTAACAAGCCTAAGCTGCCTTTATGTTAGGATGTTTTATTGCCTCCTCGGAGAGGGTAAGAAACTACAAAGTAAAATACAATGTGTAAAGAACAAGCACAGTCTTATAAGGTTCAATAAAAATATACAATTGACACAAAAAGCATAATCCACGTTTTAGGTTATGCCAAAAAATGAAAATTTTGGACAGGACATAAGTACAAAAGTGAAAAATGTAAATTCACATACACTAGGAAGCACAAATAGAAGAAGTAATTTCCATAAAATATTAGAGACAAAATAGTAGGTGCTATTGTAATTATCGTAACATCTTGGAAAATATATCATGTGTACCAATCCATGTTTTAGAATAAGCTGACCTCTTGCAGCAAATAAACAACTCTTATTACCTTTAAATAAATGTCAAGAAATGAAATACTCAAAGCACATTTTAGAGTTTACAATACCTGAATTGATTATACAATGCAACAATAAAAAACTTACAGTTTGTGGACATCCAAGCCGTGTAAATAGATCTACAGAAACATGCGGCGCGAAGCCATATTTACCTAAATTTTCTCAAAACTTAATATCCGGATAAGTTTACATATGGTAACAGTAGCGTACGGATAAAATTGGAAATATCGAACACAGCATAGACGAGCATAACATGACAATGATTGTTTCCTGTAACCCGACCGACCCATTCAAATTACCTCCGGATTGATTTTTGTCTGACAAATCTGTGTTTGATCAATCAGATAATTCAATTCATAAAAAAAACAACGTTATTTGAAGCTTTATTTCAGATAAAAAATATTTCAACCTAGTCGGCATTTATCTTAAAAGAGTACCGTTAATCATTACTGTAACATCACGAATTTCCCTCACAACTTTTTGAAGTAATTTTCAACCACTTGACAACCATGTTAGGTGTCCGCTGTAAGTATCCCACTTGGTTAGTTCAGTCCAGGGATGTTTGACCCTCTTATTCATTAAGCTAAATAAATCCCAACCTACCGACCCTTGTTTTTTGGGGGGGAATGTTACAGGGAACAAATTTTTTACGCCTTATCAAAGTTCGAAATAGGAATACATTGAAAAAGTCAACTATTTTCTAGACCACAAATTCTCTAAAAATCTGAATAATAGCATGACCATGATCATCATTACTTATATTGATATTCAGTGATCCCAAACAGCGAGCAATGTAGTACATGTAATTTTTTTTGTAAAAATAGTACAAATGAACAAAATTAAATACATATGATTCAGGATTTATTTTATTATTATATGGGGAAACCGA